AAATGTACGTTTTATCTCTCCTAGATTATTGCTCAATTTTCTTCGGCATAATGCCCTCAGACGGCCAAAGGAAACTAGACGACATTCAGAGACATTTAACTAGGTCCTTGTCCAGACGTAATGGCACCCAGGGTTCATAAATACGGTCTTCGATCCCTCTGGATCAGAAGACTCCGAAATGGTCTAAACTTCCTATTCAAGGTCACCCATGACAGAGATATTCTAAAAATGAATTTACTAACAAACTGTAAGAAGTTCTAGAATGTCCGATCACGTGCGGCCGCCATCTTGGGGAAGGTTTTAGAAAGCGCGCCCCTTTAGGGGCGCGCCCGCCGAACTTTTCCATATTTATACGCCAGGCACTTAGTCACAATTCGGCCTCTCACGACAAGTATGCATATAATAAATTATTATAACCCTAAAATTAAGCAAGATAGTCCTAGCCTAAGTTTGTTTAACTTTCCACCCTCGACCTATCCTCAACCAATCAACAATGGCGGACCCAACCTTGTCGACTTCCGCCCTGGAGAAGCTATAAATACGGGCGATGATTAACCTCCGAGAACCCCGTGGCCGGTCGCCGCTCTCCGGACAAGGAACCCCTGTCGCCTTCTCCGCTGGATCCCAGTGCTCCAATTCGCCGCTGTGGACAATCCTCTCAGATTCAGTTTATTCCTGTAATTAGGACTCTTCCCTTAGTTTCTTTTTGTACATTGGTCCGCCAGTAAAATAGTGACTAGTCCGTCTTATCCTGTTAGGCCTCGTTGACTACTATACTTGCGTGAGACGGGAACGTTACAAAACCAAAACGCCCCACAAACACCAGCAATAACGAAGATATTATAAGGATTCCGGAATTCACAAAGTCCTAACGGTCAAATTTCTACTCCATAAGATATGCCACTATCTGGAATGCTCTTCCAAGTTCTATCTGGAAAAGTCGAGCCCTAATCGAGTTTAAAATCAAAACTAAGAAATTCCTTTCAAATGACAATGCACATTTATTTTTGAGTAAGATATGACATTTTTCAAGTCAGTTCTTTGATATAGAAGTTGGTCCGAAAGCGCTCTGGTGATGCCAGCCCCTTGGATAATGCCGGAACATAGCACTAAAAACAACCAAATTTATGAGAAACAGCATCATTGATAAACATAGAACAGATAGTGATATTCTTTCTTTCCTCCTTTTATCGTTTCTATCAGTTATGTCACCTAACACTTAATATCCCTGTAGGAGCTAATAGTAACATCCATTTCGATAAAACCCTGCATATTAGTCATAGGTAAGTCTATATTAAGGCCATATTAAACGTACAATATACAACTATATTAGGTTCTACAAAACAGTCGACCACTACTCGTATAATGTCACATTCCCAATATGGCACATGATTCAATATTATTCTGACAGCTTTGAATGTGACTTACCATCGAATGTTTCTTACTCCTGATATATATTCATCTTTTCCAGCTCTTAGTCCAGACAACTATGGCAAGCCTCCTGAAAACCACGAACGAAATGTGCGACCGCCCCTTTACAAATGGCTAGATAG